AACACAGTAAAGTTGATTTGAGCTATAGTTACTATCAGGAGAATGTATGGACAACAGTAAGGTGAGAGGAAATTTATTCATTGCTTGGCCAGGGCGCCAATAAGATTTGGTAATATCAGGTTAAAGTACCAAAACCACTCGTATAAGTCAACAACTACGTCCCAACGAACCATAGAGAAAAAAAAACCGATGCTTACGATATACGATATTTAGATATATGATATATTGATTTGGACATAGGATCCGCTTAGGTCAAAGGATGATAGTAAAAACTAGAGAAATTGGTAGTTCATTTTTTTAGGGGGAGTTTAAATTCATTTGTCATGAACGGCAAAAAGGGGAACTAAAATGGGAACAGATGCTTCCTTTTCGTGCTTGATTTTATTCTAAAGAATGCTCTACCAAAGGAGGGTGACACTCATCTTCTGCACCAACTCACAAAGAATGCCCTACCAAAAAAGGGTGACACTCATCTTCTGCACCAACTCACAAAGAATGTCCTACCAAAGGAGGGTGAAACTCATCTTCTGCACCAACTCACAAAGAATGCCCTACCAAAGGAGGGTGACACTCATCTTCTGTACCAACTCACAGATATACCCATTAAATCTCCTGGATATGCATCTATGAATTTTGATTGCTTAATCAAAAAAGCTGACGTCCATTTCCAGTCGTGGGTCTAGAGAAAGTTTCATAATAACGTGTGTTATAAGACTGATTTCGTCATCTTTCCTAGAAGACTGTTACAATGGAAATAATAACAGTGCAATATCATTGTCATTAGAATGAGCTCGATTGACGATTGAGGTGTTAGTCATAAGGATATCACGGAGTTTAGAACTTCAGTTCTCTAAAGTACGATTAACCCTATATAAGTTTCTTTGTTATAACAAGATTGAAATACGTTTCTAACAACTTTTTTTTTCTTTATTTTCAGTAGACAGTAAAGTTATTGTTTCAGTCCTGATGACTGATGGTCAAATTTATATTATGACAGACGAGATTAGCCCAAGAGTTGGTGGTGGGTCTGTTGATTAGCTGTCTTTCTTATAGCATATCAGTTTAAAAGTTGAGATGACCATGTAATTCTACGCTAAAATTCTAAAATAGACAAAAGAAAAAAAAAAAGAACTTCAACTCAACAAAAGCAATTTCTTAGAGAACAAATATTGTTTCTACAAACAGCCTTGCTCAATGATCAAGTGTTATCGGTATACCGATCAAGTTCAATATAAATTTTTTAAATATATTCAAACTTTAAAAAAAATATTACTATTTTTTGTTGCTAAGAGATTGATATAACTTTGAATATTTAAAAAAATATTTTGTTTATTTGCTGGTAAGCGCAAAGCTACACAAAACCCTAAGCATAATCACTCCTTGCTAGGAGTATTGGGAAGAAAATGTTAGAAGACAGAGCTCTACTTGCTCGTTCCATCCTTGGAGGAAAATAAGCAAGACAGAGAAGAATTGTTAGTACAGTAAAGTATGTCATCCCCATCTGAAAAGAGTAAACTATCGTTGTTTCATTTGATTGCATGCTGAAGTACAGTTCATGCTAATGCCACCATCTCAAGAAAATGGCTGGAAGGTTAAAGAACGTTTATTTTGATGTGAATTTCGCGCAAAGCTACACGACAGTTATCTAATTTGACAGCTAGTCATCACCTACCACCTCCAGCTCTTGGGCTAATCTTTTACCAACGAATAATGGGATTAACGGCATATATTAACACCCCCCCCCCCACGGCTGAAAGGGCGAGCATGTTTGGTGGGATGGAAATTTCGAGCTCGCGACTCTGTGTTTTGTGTGGTTAATCTAAGTCGATTTTAAAGCCTTGAAATATTGGATACATTATGTAAACTATGTTCATGATTAATTGAAATGAACAATGATAAAGTTTAAAGGATTGTTTATTATTGAATTTCGCAACAAAAGAACTATACCTTAAACTTTCATTGAGTAACAGTCAAGGAGTGAAAAAGAAACATACCAAAATAGTGATAGGATTTTCAGCGAAATGGCTACGTTTTAAATATTTTAAACGTTTATGCGTGAGAAGCAATTACGACAGAATGAATAACATGGAACCCGTGAAGAAATTACAGGTTTTCTGCAAAGATATTTTTATTTTATTTTGGTATTTACAGCAAAGGTACTAAGTCTTTCTTTGCTGCCCTTATTTTGAACTACTAACAAGAAGGAATGAATCAATCAGCACCATATTACCTACTATTCATGCAAAGGGATCGGCTGTCATTCGTGTATCCAATAGTTTAAAGTGAGGGAAATATTTTGTGATATAGTTTGAATTCGAACCCTGGTCGTCAGCTCAGAAATAGAGCTTTACCATTGGGCAGCTTCCGTCCCTCAACAAAACATCAAATACATTTTTCACAAATCAATATAGTTTATAACCGAAAAAGAGTTGACAATCATAATCTTAAAATTATATTAATGTATATTAATTGTCAGTTACAAATCGGTGTTCTGTGATTTTGTGATATAAAACTCACGTTTCATCAGAGCCTAATGTGCTATTATTAGCATATGTAAGTAAAATAACAGACTTAACAGGCATACTGAAACATTTATTAACCAAGCTTCATGATACACGAATACACTATTTACGAAAACTACAAACATCTTAGTTTATAAAATACTGACCAAAATATATCTGGCTTAGTTTTTTATGATGACTTACACACCATGAATATTAGTTTCTAACAAGTATGTTTGAGCAATTAATACAAGACTTCATTTATATTTATTATATAAAACTGTTGTTTCTTCCTAGCCTAATATACCATCATTAATATATTCAAGTAAAATCACACACTTAACAATCATACTGAAACATGTATTAATAAAACTTCAATATACAGTACTGTGCAAAAGTGTTAGGACAAAGTAAAAAAAATAAAGTTAAGGCTACTTTCAGAGAACAATGGAAGATAAATCACAGGTGAAACGTCAACATTTTATCAATATTCATATTTCTGTTATACTAAATATGAAGTAGAAGTGCTTGAGTTCAGCAAACAGTTAATATTTGGCTTTGATAACTGCAGACAGTCTTTCAGGCATCGTTGCAACATATTCTTTGAGATTTTGCTCCAAATGTATCTAACACATTCCCATAAAGTTTATTTGGAGGTAACTTTTGCTTTGTTAAGTTTTTGATTTATCAAATGCCAGATCTGCTCAATTCGGTTCAGATTGGGTCTTTGTGGGGGCCATTGCATCATTTTAATGACTCCAGCAGTTTCTTTTTTAGCTAAATAATTTCTACATAGGTTGAATGAGCGTTTGGGGTCATTATCTTCTTGGTAGTAGAATCATTTACCAATAATACGCAAACCACTGGGTATACCATGACGGATCAGTATATAATGGTACTTGTGCTGGTCCATTATTCCATCTATTTTGCAAATATATCCTGTTGCCCAGGATCACCTCCAAACCATCACACTGCCTCACCTATGCTTCACGGTAGGTGCTATGCATTAATGTAAATATCTTTCACCTTTCTTCTGCCGGATGTACCTTGAACCAAATATTTCAAACTTGGACTCCATCCATAACACCCTTTTCTAATAATCAACAGTCCATTTTTGTACTTGTTAGCAAGTTTCAGTCTCTTGACAATATTTGGAGATCGAAGTTAAAAGTTTTTTAACTGCTACACGACGAAGTATTCCATTCTCGTTGAGTATTCTTGATACTGTAGATCTGGACACTTTTCTGTCATTTGGTACATGGTCGTTTATTTCATTCTTGAGATCAGTGGCAGTCTTCCTTCTGTCCCGAAGGCTGCATAAACGAAGGTACTTAACATCAGTACCATTGGGTTTAGGTGTTCTGCCTCTTCCTTTCCTATTTTCATGTTTACTTGTCTCAGTCTTACGATCTAGTGTGCACTTGACAGTGTTTGGGGATCATTTCAAGTCTGCAGCAATTTGTCGGAGAGTCCAACCAGCTTTTATGCGACATTTCTGCTGTACTGACAATTCTCTATGCTTTTTGGGCCGTGACATGACAACAAAACTTAATATATGGTGTTAAACACTGTTTTTATCAATGGTTATTTGTGGAGTGCTATTAAATTGAGTTCTTCTAGCAAATAATGGTACTATACGCTAACTCCTTGCTAGCTTTGTTCTATATAGTTAAGACACTGCATGGGATATCATGACAGTTATTTCAGACCCTAAATTTGATCAGTACGTTTATTCAAGCAGAACCCTTATGACATGCTCTTGGTAGAAGCATATGGGAATTCTAAAGAATGATAAGTATTCTCACCCTGGCTCATTCAGTTGTCAACAGGGATCGGTGAAGCATTACCATAGTTTCGAAATTTACATTCTGTAATGGCATGGAAGAATTATCGCCATAAAATGGAAAGAATGGCAAAATATTATCTTGACCTAACACTTCTCCATAGTACTGTATATTAATATACTATTTCTGAAAACATCTTAGTTTATAAAATACTGACCTTTTACAATACCTGCAGTATATACTTGTTCTAGCAATGTTATTAGTCAAACAGAATAAATCACCATAAAAAAAACATAAGGGACATTCCCCAAAGTGATTCGAGCTAATATGAGAAAAGTTTTTTATTTATTTTAGAAACCCTACAAAATATATAATACACTTTAACTCTTTACTATGGTGTAAAAAGTTGTTTTACAGTTACAACGTTTCCTGTTTATTACATCTTTATAATAGTGTAAAAAACGAGGTTCCTTGAGTTTAATTCAAATAAAATAAGCAAATACATTTTGTGCATATATATATATTGATCCTAAAATGTGCGCAGTTGTTATTATCTGTCCCCAAACAATTGATCGACCACAGTCGGATCTGTTATTAAGCTGCGCTAAGAGGTAAAAATGTTTACTGGTAATGCATCGGTGCACGAAGCAGGTTCTCATGGGAAGGTAAACTCCTCGAAGCATCCGTGGTAAGTGAGTGTGATGATCAGGTTCTCTTTAAAGTTATTCGTTCATAGATCAGACATCACCGCAGCTCCTTGTCTTTCATAGTCTACTTTCTGAAATTAGTAAATCTACAGAGCTGTGATCTGAAATAAGGTAAGTTGTAATAGTAATTGGTTAAAAAGGTATTATTTTTGTTTGTTTGTTGTTAAGCACAAAGCTATCAGTGTGCTCCAAACCGCGGGTATCAAAACCCAATTTTTGCGTTATAAACCTCAGATATAAAGCTGAGCCACCGGGGGAAAGGCGGGTATTATTTTAAACGGTTTAGTTTGAAAACAAAATTATGATAAAGGAAATTTGCATAGAATACCTGCAATATCAGTGACAGAGCTTGACTTCATTACTTTAAATGTTTTTTGTAGTTCATGATTACTGATGAGACTGTAAAACGTACATAAACGTTTGACAGAATGACATATAGCAATAAGTGTTTATTTCTTTATTTTTTTTCACACTTGAATATGAATCACGTGAAGTATTTTTAATTAATCTTATTTCACACTATTATTTGCGTATCATTCAATTTTATGAACAGTATAAATAAGTGCAGGAAGATGTACGGGGAATTTGGTTCAAGAATTTCTCATGTTTTTTGAGAACTTCATAATTCTTCAGACATTTGGTTTGTTTCAGAATTTCGCATAAATTCTTTGAGCAATACTTCATGTGTGCTAAGTATTTTTATGCACGATCAATAATACCTTGACTAAATTTTCCATAAATGTATTTCGAATGAAATTTACGAAATCAAATACAAGTTTGTTAATGTTTTTTTTTTGACATACTTCACAAGAACAAAAAATGAACAGAGTCTCCGTACAAAAGAGAGAGCTTGCTTATTCATAAGCTGAGACCAAAATTGCATTGCTTACAGCAAAGAAATGGAGATTCATAAATTACAAATAATGAGCGGTGAATAATAATAGTTGTTGGAACAAGTAGTAAATTACTTCTATTGTTATGTATAGTATGTGAGGATTCGATACATATATTATACATATATAGCTAAAACATGCTGTGCTAATAAGCTACTGAAGTGTCTGATAACTGAAATCTAATTAAACGTGCTTATGGTCATTTGCTGATTAAATCTACAGTTTGATAATGGTTATTATCCAGCTTATTTCTCGATAATTAACTTGTGTTCAGGATTACTGACGAGGAGTGGAATTTCCCCAATAACACACGTTAAAAGTCAAAGGATGGAGGAGGTAAAAGAGCCTGCCATTTAGGATTTTAGCTTTGTAAACAATACATATTCAAAGGCATAATTTGTTTTACTTATTTATTCATTCCTTTATTTTTTATTAATTTTATTTTGTTTCATTTAATTTATTTCACCTTTTGTATTTTATACAATAGTTCTCTGCTATTAACATTCTGAGTTATTTAGGCTTACCTATGAAATTCAGCTAAAAATGTTATGATGAAATCGTAAATACAAAATTGGAAAAAAAAGTTTAAAATCACCTTAGGAAAGGCTTCCAAGCCGGAAACGTTGTGAATATTAAACCATCTATATCGCATCAGCCATTTTTCGTGGTATAAGTTTTTTGTTTTAAGTTTAACTATGGTTGAGTTCTCTATTCCTTATTTCATTTTAGTACTGGACAGCTACTTTCCCGAAACGTTGTGAATATTAAAACATCTGTATCGCATCAGCAATTTTTCGTGGTATTAGTTTTTTTTCCATTTTTTGTTTTAAGTTTAACTATGGTTGAGTCCTTTATTCTTTATTTCATTTTAGTACTGGACAGCTACTTTCCCGAAACGTTGTGAATATTAAAACATCTGTATCGCATCAGCCATTTTTCGTGGTATTAGTTTTTTTTCCATTTTTTGTTTTAAGTTTAACTATGGTTGAGTCCTTTATTCTTTATTTCATTTAGTACTGGACAGCTACTTTCCCGAAACGTTGTGAATATTAAAACATCTATATCGCATCAGCCATTTTTCGTGGTATAAAATTTTCCATTTTTCGTGGTATAAGTTTTTCCATTTTTTGTTTTAAGTTTAACTATGGTTGAGTTCTTTATTTCATTTTAGTACTGGACAGCTACTTTCCCATAATTGGCTGCAGAAAATGAATGTGTATTTTGGTTAATGACAGTATGGGCTGAAGCACTTGAGCCCTCTAATAACTTTAACTGTGTCTACATGCTGTTGCGCAGTAGATTCCTACCCTATTAGTGTTTAATTGAAAAGAGGGACTGTCCTCAAAGTTACTTGAATGCTAGTACGCAGTTATATAGCACTCATGACTAAAGAGGTTTTTCACATTTTTTTAGACATACCTTTGTGGGGTCTTGGATTGCATTTTGATGATAAATTCGCAATTTATAACTGCTTATTTATTAATACTACTATACATATATTATTATTAATTAGAACATGAAATTACGTCATTAAATAGATACACAATTTTCAGCAAAACATATTTCAACGAATGTTTGCTTTCAAATATATATACAAAGCAAGAAACATGTAATGAAACCGGTAAAAATTAACGGGGTCAGTCTACATATGATAACTGTTTTTTTTTGTTTGTTTAAATATATTTATTTTTGCTATGCAATTCTTTTGCTGTTTTACTGAAAAGCACGAAACTCTTCTATAAAGCTACAGAATGTATTACTGTGCTCTGAAAACTGATTCCAACACACCCTTGTATATATATATATATATACACTATTTGTTCACGTTACCGTTCCAAACATAAATATATATTATAATGTTAGGTGTTACGATTCTGTAAAATTGCTTCTCTGGCAAATTGCACACTTCCTCATTGTCTTGGTTTGCACTTCAGAATGTTATTCTGTTGGATTACCATGCAAGACACGTCTGGAAAATTTGAAGAAGATTTATTCAGTTGATGCTAGTTCGCCATTTCGTATGGAAAACTCATTCTGTTTGACTCTTCAGACAATCAAATTGACTAAGTTTCGTTCAAAACTATTCAACTTACATCTTTCGCACGTCATTGGAATAACATTAAAACTTACAAGAACTAATTGACATGGTATGTCGGACTTTTCCAATACCGATTTAAGAGGTATTCTTCAAAAATATACGAGGTTTTTCCTTTCGATAACTGTAATATGAAAGTTAGATAACGTCCATATTAGTTTAGGAAACTAAGTTTATTATAATGATGTTGTTCCATTTTTAAAATTAATGATTTAAATATGTTCCTTTTTCTGAGATTTTGCGCACTTCCTAACCTGGCATGGCCAGGGGGTTAGGGCGCTCGACTCGCAATCTGAGGGTCGCGAGTTCGAATCCCCGTCACATCAAACATGCTCGCCCTTTCAGCCGTGGGGGCGTTATAATGTGACGGTCAATCCCACTATTCGTTGGTAAAAGAGTAGTCCAAGAGTTGGCGGTGGGTGGTGATGACTAGCTGCCTTTCCTCTAGTCTTACACTGCTAAATTAGGGACGGCTAGCGCAGAAAACCCCAGTGTAGCTTTGCGCGAATTCCAAAACAAACAAACAAGCGCACTTTCTTTTATCCATATATTGAAGAATTAAAAAACATTCAACAAATTCTACTGGGAAAACATGGAGAGTGCGTGTGTTTTCTTATAGCAAAGCCACATCGATCTATCTGCTGTGTCAATCGAGTGGAATAGAACCCATGATTTTAGCTTTGTAAATCCGAAAAATTACCGAGAAAACATGGAAGATTCAATACTAACTAAATATTATTTGTTTCTTGGTTTTGAATTAAGCACAAAACTGCACAATGGGCTACTCGTGCTCTGCCCACCACGGGTATCGAAATCTGGTGTCTGGCGTTGTAAGCCCACGGACTTATCCACCGGGAAAAGGAGCAGTCATACCCCTGTACCATTGGAGGATAACTAAATATATACTTGTATGCTCTACATTTTCTTATATTTTTGGGGAATAAAAAAACGCTCGTGCAACCAAAATTAAAACCACTGAACTCTGATTAGTTTTATGAAATGTTTAAAACCTAGTTAATGTAATTTATGTTTTTATAGCACTTATAGCACTTTAGCAGTGTAAGATTAGAGGAAAGGCAGCTAGTCATCACCACCCACCGCCAACTCTTGAGCTACTCTTTTACCAACGAATAGTGGGATTGACCGTCACATTATAACGCCCCCACGGCTGAAAGGGCGAGCATGTCTTAATTATTATATGAGTTGAGGAACCACATCTACTAAAATTAACCCACATCAAAAACAAAGTGCCAGAGTTTGCATTGAAAGTGTCTTTTAACAATATGAATAACAAAAACTACAAGATAGCATATATTTTGGAGTATTCGTTATTCACTACCTACAGTTAATTTATTTAGTTTTAAAAACCATTAGAATTGAATTCTAACTGAAAGACATACACATTTAGCAAAATTAACGAGTTTAACTTTCTTGGTATTTATATAATCTCCCTATCTATGGGGCATACTTCTGGGCAATCGATGGCCAACTTTATGAGATACCTATTCCTCAGTTAATGCAACGCTAAACTCTTCTATATATCATTGTAGGTTGAGACAAGACTAGCACAAAGCTACAAAATGAGTATTTGTGCTGTCCTCACCACGGGTATCGAAACCCAGTTTTTAGCGTTATAAGCCTCTAGATTTACCACTGAGCCATCAGGGAGCAAGAAATCTACGAGTTGTGACGGATAGCATATGTATGAACTTGGTTATACCAGAGTAAAAAGTCTGTAACTATGCTCATAAAGCTATGAATACAGTGAAATACTATTAATCAAAATGTATTTACAATGAAGTACTTTTTCGGATTATTGAGACATACAGATAGTCGAATAAGTCACTTTGAATATAATGCACTCTCTATTAATAGCATGAGTTATCGATCGAAAATTTAAAGGTGCTATAGCTAGTAAGGAAAGACATGCAACTAATAAATCAAAATAAACTGTAAATACAGTAAACGTATTGGTTTATTATTTTACACGTCATTAATAATTTTACAAATTGCATAATCAAAGTCGCATGTTATGTCATTGTCTTCACATAAATCACCAAAAAAATAAAAACAACAACAATATACCTTGCCATGTTGTTTTTATTTCGAGGTGTGATATTTAGATGGTGAAAGTAATAATGTAAAACAAAAACGTATTTTAAAAACACAATAACTTGACCATAATACTTCTTCTTCATTTATGATATAACATCCAAAACCACCTCTTATATTTTACTATGTTAATTTTATAGGAGATTTGGGTGTAAAATAACTCGTCCATAACACCCCGCCCCCAGTAGCACAGCGATATGGCTGCGGACTTACAACGCTAGAAACTTTAGATTCTTCTGTATTAAGTACGTTAAAAAATCCAATAAAACGTACTACTTTACCATGCCGGTTTCTTTATGAACTCTGGATTTTAGATGTAACACTTAGTAATAGTGTGAGACAAAAAACATAATGTCTATGTTACTGACCATTGGAAATGTTTTATAATTTTTGTCTCGGTCTTCTTGAGAGAAATGTTTTAGTACTCCTTTGTCCAGGCAATCTACCAAATATGATTTCATCTTTTTTTTGCTTAAACTGTACTTCTTTATTGCCTGTCTACGTCTTGAGAAGGAGTTCTGACAGAAATATTATAATGATAATACCACAGTCATTAGCACTGTCCTGTTGCTGAACATGGGGAATTCTCACGCAAATAATTTGTTTATCATTAACACATGATTGGCGTAACTAAATATGAAGACTTGTTGCAAACTACGTTTGCGGGTTATTGAAAAGAGGTATATGGATTACATGCACATAATCACTTCGCAATGAAAGCACCCATTTGATTTGGTCAGTATGGTGTACTTAACAAATAGGAGTGCCATCAACTGTAACATAAGGCAATTTAGGACAACTTATCCAGTATTTATAAACAGGCACTAACTTACAGACAAATACAAGTTTGAATTGTTCAGCAACAATCAACGCCAGTTTATTCTACAGTAGAAAACAGAAGCTTATCATAGTCAATGTAGAATGTCTACAGTAAAGCATAATGTTGGATGAATACACGTTTGCGGCTGCGTCTCTATCAAAGCTATCGGTGATCTAAAGGAAAAGTTGATGGCACCCTGATTACTGACAGGTACAGACTTATCGTGATCCATCATGCTGTTTTCTCAGGAACACAACAATAATCCAAAGCACATAGCAAATGTTGTAAAACAATACTATGATGGTAAAGAAGCCAATGTAATATTTACAATCATTGCTTGGTTTGCACAAACTCTTGATAAGAATATTCTTGATTCTATAATGGCTTATGTAAAATCTGAAAAGGTAAAAAACCGACCAAACAATTTGTCTGAATTGTGGGGAGTAATACATGATACTTGGAATATTATTATAGAATAGTCCACTGATTATCTGTATTTTAGTGTAAAAGCAAGAGGTAATGTTCTGTGTAAACTAAGGGGGTATTGTATTGTATCGTACAACTTATTTAAATTTCTTATGTATTTTCTGTGATAACGTTTTGAACCATTAATAAATACAGATTTATATGCCTTTTCTTCTGGTTTTTGACTTCTATATGTACATCTTTTGTTTGTTTCCATAGTTCTTTTCACTACTGTTTATCATAATATAAGAAAATCTTTATTTGAATCTGTATAAACAGTAGCTTGTTCATCAAAAGTATCGTATTGCCATACAATGTTGAAGATTTTAGACAGTTTTGAATGAACACCAAATATACATCTATGTGTTTTTTTCCTTTACCATAGGACTCTTTTCTAAAAGATGATTTTTCCATGATGCCCCCGAATCGTGAAACTGCAGTCCCCGTAATTCATTGCCACCCTATCCAGAGTAAAAGAATTATTGCTGGACTGGTAATGGCAGGACCATTTGTTACCTGCTTTGCGTTGTTTGGTATAATGAATCTTGTCGCTGGGACATTTTTAACCATCATGGCTTGTAAACCACAAACCTCACATCCAGATTCAACCTACAGTGAAGAGTTTCTTCGTACTTTCAGTAAAAAACTCGAAAATATATTAGATCCATTTAAGATTGTTGGTCCTATACTTCTCATTACAGGTTTTTTGTTAGTGAACATAGGAATAGTCTTAGGGATTATTGCATGTAAATCATCGCTTCACACTGCCCAGAAGGATTCACTGCCATCTCCAGTCTCGTGCTTCCAACTTTCAGACATCAATGGTACCATGGGAACGAGACTTCAGACTAGCAGTAACTTCAAGGAACGATCTTTCTTGTGTCCACCACAGAGACAAAATCTAGGAAAAAGGGACACTACTTCTTTCACTTATCTAGATGCCATCATTGATGTCCACATGACACCTCATCCTGTCCCTTCGAAGGCTGGGGAAACAATCATCAAGTCATCATCAGCAACTGAAGAACAGGAAGATGTTTCATCAGTAGCTCATGGTAATATAGAGGGAAAAGATGTCACAATAGAGGGCCTAGGTTTCACAGAAGAGACCCTATTTCGTGTTTAAGAGTTGTATATATAAATATATATATATATATGTGTGTGTGTGTGTTTGTGTGAGTGTACGTAACAGACACGAGTCAGATTAATGCATCCATGTTGTAAAACTCTGTGATTTGAAAATTGAATAAATCACTAATATTTATCATACACTTCAAAGTAATTTGCTTTCAGGTTACATTTGTAGTAGTTGTGATAAACGTAAGTTAACATATTTAAAACCCCTATACTTGTTAAATCAAGTGTTGTTTTGAATGTCATTAAAAGTAGAAATATTTCGTTGATTTAATTTTCACTACAGTTATAATATTAAAACAAAAAGAAAAACTACTTGAAAACTTTTGAATCTCTCTAAATCTTTGGTTACCATTAATTATTGGTTTCTCTAGTGATGAATATCAAATTGTCACAAGGGTATTAAAAATCCCGAGTTACACTATTTACCTATGACATACTTAAAGCTTATATCTAATTCAAATGAATGAAATAAACAATTAGAATATTTACTCTATTTTTTAAACATTTTTCTATATTCAGAAATGATTGTGCATTAACTAAATATTTGGCAAACAACGTGCTTTAACGTATAACGATTAAAATTGTCATTATATAAATATTAGGATATATCTTAATTATATTCATTATGTAAATGTTAGGATATATCTTAATTATAGTCATTATGTAAATGTTAGGATATATCTTAGTTATAGTCATTATATAAATATTAGGATATATCTCAATTGAGGTATATTCATATAACATTCTCGGTTTCCATGCAGTTTCTGCATGTAGTTTATCCCTTTCGTGTTGACCGGATATCTCAAGGGCGTAAATATGTGTTATCCTTTTGCGAAGATTAAGGCTAAGAACTGTAATCTGTGTCTTTAAGTCTCAAGTTGTACACTTGGCTCGGCTTAAGATTGTACGTAAACTATTTGTTGAAGTATGTAACCTGTGGACTTCTGGGATATCTGGCTTTCCTTATTTCACTAGATTAGTTGAGACAGGCATTTCCATTATCCTGTCTATTCATTTCTCTTGAGACTTGATTTGTCTCTTGGTTGTCGTCTGTTGTTCCGCAGCCCTAAACTCCAACACGGAAGGAGAAGTTTTGTCAGTTTAGGTGACATAACCTTGTATTTGTTTAATAAAGAATATTATGTTTAAAACTACTCTTTTATTTGTTTGTTTTCCTCTACCATCCATATCAGTTTATCCTTCGCTTAATAATGTTGAACCTGATTTTTGAGGGAACTTTTGGCACCTGAACGCCACAAACCGATTTATCTCATTAGAACTGAAACAAAAACACCTTCTATACTTTTTATTTATTAATGATTATTACTTCTTTAATTTAATAATTTTTACCTAACTTGATTTCATTGACCTCTAGCCACTAACATCTGAGATTGAAAGGTGGGGGAAGATAAGTCAACAAATCAGTACTGAATAATAAAAAAAATGCTTGCTCAGGCAATTCAACCCAGGCATACACACATATACTGTCCTATTCCACAGTGACTTATCTTTTTAATGTTATTCCTTAACAGATTTGGAGAATAAATACATTAAATAACCATAAGTGTCGTAAAACAGCTTAAAGAATCCATAACGACTCTTCAGATGAGAGGAGAACCCGGTTTTTATTGAATATTAGAATTATTGCTTGTATGGTGGTTCAACAATTCAGAAAAATGAAGTGAAATCATGAAATACGCATGACACGATAATATTAATAAAGATTACTGGAATCCATTCTATCATAACTTTTACTTGAAAATATGTTCGTGTAGATGTACCTGTAGAATCAGAATTAATTATCAATGGTTCTCCGCAAAGCAGAATCAATCAAGAAGAAGTTAAGAATTGAGGCAGTAATCTACGAGAAGTATAATAATCATTAGTATATAGCGAAAGAAAAGAAAGACAAAAACATGTATTTAAAATTCGAAGAATTTACCAGGGCACGTCAAAACAACCGTGTTTAAAAATTTCATTTGTTCTTGGAGTTCATTCAGTTAAAGCTAGTATACGCAGAATATTATCACACTCAAATCTTCTGGCTTCTCGATCAATAAATTTCAATCAATTCTACCAAAAACTATTTACAATACGGTTGCCAAATATTTTACTACACTTAAAGGCGTATGAAACAACTTAAAAAATCCTGAAATTTCATTCTAGACAATGATCAAAGTATGAAAACTATGAAAAATGAATTAAAATATTATTCATCACATCAATAGTAACGTATAGAATTAGTTTAATGATGAATAGTAAACCAGTATAGATGTTCTCAGAATACTGAACATTCAAATCTTAACTGATCTTTAGAAATTTCATAAAACCCCTGATAAATCTGTTAACACTAATGAGGAACCCATAGTCTTATTGCTTATTACAGTAGTTAAAACAGTATGGGCAACGCCTGCTCATCACAATTTCCAATAAAAAAAAACATACAGAACTTTCAAACTCAACGTAGGAAAACCACATTGTGATTATACACTTTTTGTGAAGCTACTGGCTTTCCTTCAAGCCTCAAACATTCATTTATTCACCGAGAAAGGTTTGTTTGTTTGTAGTTAAGCACAAAGCTACACATTGGCTATCTGTGATCTGCCCACCACGGGTATCGAAACCCGGTTTCTAGCGTTGTAATTCAGCAAACATACCGCTGTGCCACTGAGGGCATTCATCATGAAAGAAAAAGCTGCATGACACCCAGTGTATCACAAAACTTACTTTGACAGTGCGCTTTTAAAGAAAATGTTGAGCGAAGACTTCGGAGAACAAGAAAAACCTGTTACATTCAGTTTCTCCTCAAAGATCGGTAAACCGAAAAATTTATTTACCCATGATGCTTTTCTGTAATAGAAAAAAAATCTCCATCAGATTAGGATGTACAAGTATCACCCATAAGCACTATCTCTGTTCTTATATATTGGTTGTGCTATATTTTTGTGAGATGAAAGTCTCACTTGAATCCTAGACGCGTCCAAAGGTATCCAAGAAATATGACACTGTTTAAACGCCTCTCACAACCTCTTCTTAAACAAATGATACACTGTTTCGAAATAACGAAAGTTAATATAATCGAGATGAGTAAAAGACGTACCATTTCCTAGAGCTTGTATCATCTTCAGACCTTTAAAATGATTTTCTTCATTTACATATGTGCAAATAACGAAAAATTAATTTTACACTTAAAACAAGGATTCACTCTACGAACCGCTTAATAATATAGTTTCATAATAATAATAAGTGTACAAGGGTCGTAAAATTAGTTACGCCGACACTGTAAAATACAAATTATTGAGAAGTAAAGAATACTAAACTGGAGATGGCAATGTTTTTTATTCTCGAAGTTTCAGTGATAATTAATATCACAATACCAGTTTAAAACCTTCAAAGATCATTTGAGAATCTGATATGTTTATCCATAACTAGTGAATATGCCTTCAATCCACATTTTCATTACTTGGTTTAATTCTATCTATGTATGAAATTCAAATCAACAAGTTATTCATCCCAGAAATCATCAATAATCAGCAGGACGAAACAATCAGCCATCCTCTGTTCACTATTGCAAATCCCTGAATATTTTCACACCAGCACGCTCTTCACAGAATATTATATCAAAGATCAAGATAGCTTTCTCTAAACATATTCCTTTTAATATAAACAAAAATACATTAACTCCAGGAGAAACAGAAGCAGAGAAACCGAACTATTTCTGTCACTATATCGAAGAAGATATAGTGTCAACCTAGCGCTACTTATTACTACTCAAAATAAATATTTAACTTTTCGCTAAAGTAAAAGGGTACAGTTGCATATACGAATCTAGGTAAGATCGATCGCAAACATAAGTCCAATACCAAAAAACACATTAGAAGATATGCAAACAGAACAGAAACAGAATCGGCTCATACACATACGGTATATCCATAAATTAAATACAAAATATTTGTGACAAAATGATGAGTAATTAAAAGTAAAATATCTACAACATTATATATATAGTTATAGCAACAAGGTGTGGCATTAAATTACTTCATCAAATAAATATTGTAATTATATAATCGTGCTGTGACTGGGGCCTATAAAACGGTCAAATAAATACTGTAATTATATAATCGTGCTGTGACTGGGGCCTATAAAACGGTCAAATAAATATTGTAATTATATAATCGTGCTGTGACTGGGGCCTATAAAACGGTCAAATAAATACTGTAATTATATAATCGTGCTGTGACTGGGGCCTATAAAACGGTCAAATAAATATTGTAATGAAATTATCGTGCTGTGACTGTGACATATATATATAAACACACAAGAAACACAGCAGTTAAGTCGTATTTAACGTGTGGAAGAAGCAAATGTGTAACGTAACTGTATTTGTGTGATTTTTGATATTCAAAAGAGGAAAGAGTGTTTGGTACATATGATAAAGAAACAACACTGGAGCATAAAATACCTTAAACTATGTTTTAATTACTAAGGTATTTAACAAAACTAGCCCATACATAGCAGTATGGAGTCACTGTCTACCACATTTATCACCTATATTAATAAGATTCGCCCTAAATATTGGATAAATAAATAGATTTTAAAGTTAATCAATTTTTCGAATCTAAAACTGCTATCGCTCATCTTCAGCCGTATATAGGAAGGCAGTTGCTTCTGTTGGAAAATAAAAGTAATAAAATAAAACATATTTTAAGAGAAAACACTGCGGATTATTAGTTGAACATCTGAGATTGACATCTTGCTAAAGAATTATGATTTCAGATAGGCATACGACTTTTGCGTACTGTATTTATTTTAAAGTAATAAACTTGGTGATAACATTAAAAAACTCATAAAAAACTATTTGCAGTGGTGCTATTTCAAATAATACAAAATACATTATTACTTGCAAAGACAAATCTCGATAGCTCGGTCTTTCGTAATTAATTATTATGGCTGTATTAACAGCATGATAGAGTATAAAGTAGTGATGAACGAGTTTCACTTTTGAACTTCCATTTGATACTTATAAGTAATACCGATACTGATTTGATACTTATAAGTGATACCGATACTGATTTGATACTTGTAAATAATACCGATAACGATTTGATACTTGTAAGTAATGCCGATAATGATTTTGATACTTGTAAATAATACCGATAACGATTTGATACTTGTGAATAATACCGATGACGATTTGATACTTGTATATAATACCGATAATGATTTGATACTTGTAAGTAATACCGATAATGATTTGA